ACCCTCATGGACATGCTGCTGTACCATCTTACTTCAAACTCACATCAACCTTCACAATGATTTAAAGTAAACTTAAAATACTAATGTCAAGTGGGGGAGACCTCCTAGCACCTTCCAGTACTTAAAGGGGCTTGCTGCTGCTTGATGATTTTACAAGAGTGTGTAGTGACAGGACAAGGGGGAATAGCTTCAAACTGACAGAGGGCAGGTTTATATTAGATATCAGGAAAAACTTCTTGACTGTGATGGTGGTGAGGCACTGGCGCAGGTTGCCCAGAGAAGCTGTGGCTGCCCCATCCCTGGAAGTGTTCAAAGCCAGGTTGAATAAAGCCTTGAGCAACCTGGTCTAGTGAAGATGTCCCTGCCCATAGCAGGGTTGGAACTGGATGAGCTTTAAGGTCAATTCCAGCCCAAATCATTCTGTGTTTCTGTGAAATCAGCTCTTGTCTAAGAGTTTAAAGGTAAGTGCTTCCCAGCAGTGAGTGGTCTCCTGAGAACAGAGGGGTCAGCCGGAGGACAGTCACTTTCCATCACCAGCTTCTCTGGGGGGATACTCTATATGGAGCCAAAATCTTTTCCAGGCCAGTGCCAGCCCTGGCTTGGACCCTCTCTCCACTGCAGTGCCCACCTCAGCTCACCTGCAGCAGTGTCTGCTCCTCAACTCCCACCCCCTTTTCCCTCACAAACCTCTCACTCCCACCACCTCCCTTCCAAGTTGTGGCTTTTACTGAAGCAACTTCACCCCCAAAACATCAGCCTATGCCCATCCATCCTATGGCCCCAAACACTCAACTCTCCTCCCTCCTGCTCCATGGTGATATCAGTGGTGACTTCAGGTCCCACCTAGCCTGTTAGTCCTTGGTGCTCTGCTTGGGACACCTTCAGTGCCAAATTCCTTGGAAACAGTGTCAATTTGCCAGGAGATACTGCAGTGTCTTCACAAGGATGAGGCTCTGAACAGCCTCTTGTTCCTGAGGCTTTAGCTATCCAAGTGGGACATAGGTATTTCTCCAACCCCAGCTTAGCTTTTGGGTCAACAGTGTTTCACTAAAGAAGACAGAAGAAACATGGATTGCAACTATGAAGGGAATATTTTATTACTTATAACACTTCATTCAGCTAAATCCACATAGCAATACACAGAAACTCTTCAGGAAAGTGCAAATTCTCACTCTGTATTTGTAATATGCCCTAGTTTTACAGAACAGACATTGGGTAAACAGGAGCACAGATCCAGAACTCCTCAATATTTCAGGCAAGAAGAACAATGCAACTTCAGATACTTCAATCACCTTGTACAAAGCTAGTGCTGAGTGAAGGGCATGGGGAGAGAGAGCAAATGTTCTGGGTATACCAAGCTGGACTCTAATCATCCAGGTGTCACCATGCAATGAACCCCTTCTCTCTTAGCTGGGGAGAGAAGAGGACAAAAATGGGAGGAAAGACAAAACCAAGTAATAACAACACTAGTTTTAAAATTAAAGAGAACATCCAAGTGCTTTCTAAAGCAGCACATACATTCCACCCTGCCCCAAGTGACAAAAACCATCATCCCACCTTGTGGCTTCTCCCTCAATGCTCCAACACTTCAACACAAACATTTCCTTGAATACAACAGGAGCTGAAATCCCTAACAGGCAGAGAGGGTGCACAAAGTGCTACCTGAGTATGGCTAAACCAGGAAATAACACCAGGAATGTCAACATGCAGGTGTCCACCAACTGGAGACAGCAACAGCTTGGGATCAGTGATAGCAGGTGAGGGAGCCCCAGGCAGTGTGTACTGCACACTGCAACTCACCCTCAACATTCAAAACAAACACGGAGGGTTTGGCTCCTTCATTTACCCCATGGGTGACATGACAGTATTCCCTTTCCTTACAATGAAGTTGGGCATTTAAAATGAGGGAAATCAAGAGAGCTAGGCAAGATCCCAGTTCTCCCACAGTCGAAGGGAATCCCAACTCCTTTGAGCCACATCCTGTGAGTAGAGGGAAGGCTGAGGGAAGCAGAGCTGGCTCAGCACCCCAACAGGACGACATGCCAACACCAAGCAGGGGCTACAGCCAGTCTCATGCTGAAGGCTTTCAGCCCACCTCTCCCTCTTACACATACTCTCTCCTCCTCTCCCAGAAGTCCCTCATGCCATGGCAGGAATCATCCCTCTTAATGATCTTGATCATCGTGCAGGAGGAGACATGGATAGTGCTTGAAACTATTTAAGCCACACACTGGATGCTGTATCACAACTAGAATAAAAAATTCAGCTACCAGCTCTGTCTCTCAGACATTCAGCCTTGCCTGGCAAGCCCCCTGAACTCTGAGAGCTCCTAGACAAAACCAAGCCCTCCAAATTTTATCAAACACTAAACCCAACTCATTGGCTTTATTAGAGTTTAAGCCAATGGCCAACCTTTGAGAAGGTGTATTTGACCTGGAAGCACCTAGGAAACAACATGCACAGCATACTTTGATCTGTGATCTGCTCCCTGCTCAAGTTAGAAAAGCCTTTGTTCTTATCTAGGAAGTAGGAAACAACAACTGACAACTGAGATAAAGTAGTGCAGGAGCCCAATAAACTCTAACACAACGCATAACAAAGTAACAGGGTGAGGAAACGAGAATTCCAGTCTTTCACAGTAACAGAAGTAAGGGATGGAGATCAGAGGGAGGAGATAAAGGAGAAGTTCCACAAATGGAACAGTATAAATATATCAAACAGTTCCAATACAGTAGGAAAACAATGGTAGCAGCAGTTTAAAAACAGCAAATAGTTATTATACCCTTGAAGTACATTCAACATGTTGTGCCTGTTGCTGTCATCCCAAAAACACTACTATACCTCTAACTCCCTGTCAAACCCATCAATGGGAACAATCCCAAACACCCTAAATCTGGATTGTTTTTCTTGAATTCAACCTATTTAGACTATGAACAGTTACCAACTTCTAAGAATGCTGATCTGAAAACACAAATTTCTTCATTTATAACACTTGCCTACTGACACAAAGCAGATCTCTCTGGTGAATTGCTCTGTGGGAGCACAAACGTCACTCACAAGACATAACTGCTACAACACCACACAGCTGGCCTCAGCACACACACAGACTATGCTTTGTACAGTGTTTATCTTTGTTCAAAATTGTTTCAAGCCACTTGTTCTCTTCTGTACTACTAGGAGAACAAAAATCCTTAATGCCTTAGGGTTTAATCTGCTGCCAAAGGAAGGAATGATAAGAGCTCCTTCAAATTCAGTGCAGTGGGGAACCAGATCTGCACCTTTTTTTTGGAAAACTGAAGGCAAAGCACCAGTCAGAAATGCCTTCACACCTTCTGAGACCTACCCACTGTACAACAACATTACTATACTCTGAGTGTAAATGTTTTTACCTATTTTCCCCACCACATCAGTCAAAGGTACAATCCAGAAGAAAATAAAAGCAGGATTTTGGCATTAGACATTTCAATGGCAGAACAATTGGGAGATATTGTGTCTTCAGATAAAAAATAAATAAATAGCAGTGACAGAGCAGAATTTGTGCCACACCGACGTTCTGTAGCACATGTACATTCATATACAGCAAAAATACTTCTCCACGGATATAGTGCAAAGCTGCTGGCAGCAGGGAACACCCAAACCTCAGGGCTCTTTAAAGCCATAGAGAGGCCACACACACAAACCCACTCAGTGCCATTCTATGGCATTCAGCTGGGAGGGTATAATGAGATGGAGGACAGATTTGGAGAGTTAACAACAGTGGCAAACAACAGCTTGAACTTAAGTGCATCTTGGGTTCTTCTCATGTCACCTTCAACACAGAGATTCAGTGCTGTGGCTTATCTATCTCTTTTAACTCCTGCCACTGATAGCAGGGAGATGTCCAGAACCAGCTCTGCTGGGCCAAAACATGGCTTTTATTTTCTGAACTCTTGGATATCTACAAGAAAACTTTTGTATTGGTTTATTTTTAAAATAGCCGTAGCACTTTCTACTCAAGTCAAAGAAGAAAACAGATAATGAGAAGCTGTTAGAAAAAAAATGCCCTAAAAGATAAGAAAAATCAGCTGACAAGACATGACAAAAAAAGTAAATCACAATTTAGTCACTGTGTCACTGTCTTACCTCCTCTTCCTTCTGTTTTATGCACAGAGAATATAAATTCAGGCCAACAAAACCAAAAAAAGCCCCTGACTGGTATTTTCATTCAAAGTTAAGAATACAGAAAAACAGGCTTAAGACACTTCAAGATGTGGGATAACAAATAATTATAAAGCCTAGAGTAGACACAATGGGCAATTTAACCAAGGAATGACCAAGTTCCTGCTCCTCTAGAAGCCTTGGGAAGGCACTAAGTAATTCCAACCCCAAGCTGCAAGTAGAACTGCAGGTGTTGCCACTATTGTTTCACCGCCAAGTGCTTTAAGACACACACAGGAAAGCTGCAGACCACCAAGAGCACCTTTACCAACAGAAGAATTCTTAAGAAGCTGAAAAATGCCAACAGTTTGCCTAAACAAGAAATGCTGAGCTCTACTTCAATAGTCTTGGAAATACAGAGCTGTACCAACGCTCTGACCAGTAAGGAAGAAGCAAGTTTTGTTGTCAGTTTGGAGTCATCACTTCTAGACTATCTTAAAACCTTTTTCACAGACAAAATAAAGGTATTTTAGGTACCTGAAATGAGTTTAAGACAAGATCTTGTGGCTAAGATAACTGCCTTAAACACAGTAGGGCAGTTCACTTGCATTGGTGTGGGTTAGTAAGTTTTTTGGTCAAAAGGAAAGAAGATTATATAACAATAAATTCCACCCTCTTCTCTGACTTCTCCGTACGCCAATTTTCTAGCCCAGACTTAGGTGAAAAGCCCGACAAAAGAAAGCTTCTTCTTTACAGAACAAAAAAGCAACTGCTTAACACACACACAAACATATGAAACTGATTCTGTTCTTGGGTCCTTTGTTCCACGCACATGGCCACTCCTGTGCACACCAGGGACAGGCCTAAGCAGAGCGCCAGGTCAGCCCATTCTTGTCAGGTTCCAGAAAATTCTCAATCAAAGCCTCAATAAGCTTCTGAAGTTCTTCTTCCAACACGCTCCTGTCACTGGAAAAACAGAATAAGGCCTGGTCAGAGGTTTGGGAAACGCCAAGCTGTGGAGGACCAGACATAAGCACATTCTTTCTCAAACACTGACTGTGATGACAGGTAAGATGTGATCGGAGCAGAGAGTCCTGCAGAGGTGTGGCAGCATGTTCTGTGTCAACCTCCTGCTTCACCTGGAGACACCTGCTCAGCCCTCCCAACTCACTCCCTGGAGGAAGGCTTGAAGGGCTGCTGTGTACATGTGAATGGAACAGCACAAAAACATCTAGTTTACATGAGAGGCTGCACCAGGTTAGCTATAAAAGGGAGCAGATCAGGCCCCCTCGCTCTCTTTTACCCCTCTCCTGCCTTCCTCTCTTTGTCTATCACTCTCATGTTTTTCCCCAGCTCTGGAACATCCACAAGGCAGGACCAACACAGGACCTAAGGACTGGCAATTTGTCTATTAGTTCTCTCCCTTTTCTGTCTTTCTCTCTCCATGCTTTGCTCGGGCAAAGCACAGCTATCATACTTTACCCCTGGTACCCTTCACTGAAGAGTGCTGTGGGAGTGGGGAAATTGTGAGAAATGGTGGTGTGGCTTGTGAGCAGTACCTTTGAATATTGGTGTGTTGTGGCTTATAAGCCTGCACCTTTAAGAGGTTTGGTGTGGGAACTGAGAATTTACTGCACGGCATTATACAAATTAAGGGCTTGTGCCAGTGCCTGACCACCCAATTACTGCAATATTAATTTTAATTAATTCAAAGGGAAAAAATCAGGGCCACTAGAGGGCTCTGGGCTAGCAGAAGGAACACAAGAACCAACGACTAAAACCAATGCAAGACTAGCCAGGCACAAGATGCAAGTGGATTAAAAAATAGGAATGAGCTACTAATGAAAGGAAACCAGAGGCCTACAAGAAACCAAACTCTACATCATGAACTGCAGTGACAGGACATAGAGGAATGGGTTCAAACTGAAAGAGGGGAAATTTAGGTTAGATATGCAGAAGCAGCTCTTCCCTGTGACGGTGGTTGAGGCACTGGCACAGGCTGTCCAGAGAAGCTGTGGCTGCCCCATCCCTGGAAGTGTTCCAGGCCAGGTTGGACGGGGCTTGGAGCAACCTGGTCTAGTGGAAGGTGCCCCTGCCCATGGCAGGGGAGTAGAACAAGGCCTGTAAAGTCCCTTCTAACCCAAACCATTTTGGGATTCTGTAACAGAAGAAGCAAATACTCTATAGTCTTTTCTATACACATCTGGATGCACACCCAGGGTATCTAATTGTATTTTGCCTCAAGACACTAATTTCAGTAAAAAGGCAAGAGCCACGTGCACAAACACTAATTATGGTAATACTCCTTTAAAAATCAATAATCCCTCTCCTACCCTCTAAGTCTCACTGAAGGGAGAGAACTCAGTCTGGTTTTAACAGAAAATAGGCAAAACAACCTTATTTACATTTGCTTTGTTCATATGTGGAACTAGCAATAGGTCCTTGCTCTTCAGGTCATAGCTTCCTTTTAAAGAAAACACTCAAAATGCTGCAATAAAACTGGCTTTCCTGATGTTCAGTTTTTAAGACTAATCAATAAATAGCAACTCAGAGAAACATTTGTAAAGCCATTACAGAGATGTAAACCTTCTGAGGTTCTTACAGAACACTTTATGCTTTGAACCAGGGAAGCTTGAAAGCTTCTCAATTCAGCATCACAGAATCATTTAGGTTAGAGAAGGCCTCTAAGATCAAATCCAACCTTTCCCCACACCACAGCCACTACTCTCCCCCACCACTAACCATGTCCCCAAGTGCCACATCCCACACAGCTGTTAAATCCCTCCAGGGATGGGGACTCCACCACCGCCCAGGGCAGCCTGTGCCAGGGCTAGACAACACTGAAGTGAGGAAGGAATCTGAGGCATTTTAGGAGGCTGGAAGAGTCATTTGAGGCTCAGGCGTGCTACTGACCTCTGCTCAGGTAGTGCACACATCTCGGCGTAATACTTGATCTTTGGTTCTGTCCCACTAGTGCGTAGGGTGGCAACACAACCATTCTGAAACGTGAAGGTGATCATCTGACTGCTTTTACTCACTGGCAGCACCTACAAAAACAACAACACACCTGTTACTCCCACTGCAATCCCCGTATCTGGAAGCCAGCTAGACAGCTTAAGAGTTGCAGGAGCATCAGGCTGAATTAATTATTCGATTAAAGTTCATCCATTGTTACATATCAGGATAGTCACCACAACAGCCAAACCATTTCACATTTCAGCAGTTTCCTCCTCAGTAAATGCTGCTAGGCAGCCTGGAGAGGTGATAGCAATTATCCTGCCATCTTAGTACATCTTTCTGCCTAGTTCTGCCATCTTAGTTGACACAGTACATCTTCCCGCCTAGTTGTTGGTGTATTTCCCTTTCAGGCCCCCTTCAAAACCAGAGCCTCTACTCCCAAAACACTCTGCAACTCACCGATTTCTTGTTCAGCTGGCTGCTGTCATAACCAGTGGTGATATCTCGGACATGTAGTATATTGTAAATGCCACAACATCTTGGGTAAGACTGAGGACCATCAAAGTTCCGGAGCCTCTCAAATATCCTCTTGATAGTAGGAGGTTCATAGCACAAGAAGTAAGAAGTCTTGGATATGTGATATCCATACCTACAAGCAGATGAACATTTTCAATTGTAAGAGTCACAAGTTTTCTGCACATTTGGTATCTAAAGAAAGCTCCTGTTTGGAAAAGCAGCAGCAGAAAGAGAATGCAGTTCTCAGAGCTGGGGAAACTGGTGTTTATAGGCAAATGTCTGCACCCAGAAGCAGATTTCACTGCATTACTCAGATCTTAAGCTGTTTTTAAATTCAAGCTCAGGTTTCACTCTGAAAGAAATAAAAGCCAACCATTTGGCTAAGTGCAGTCTCAGTAGGCCTCAAGAAATGCATTTTCAGAATCACTTCCCTCCATGAAAAACTGACTGCCATAGTCATGTGGCAGCCACAACAACAGACTCACTCAGCCTCAGAGGAAGGTGGCTGATTATTCCATCCAAGTTAAACTACCATACCAAATCAGACCTAATGCAGGCAATCAATAGGTGCAGCAACCATGTTTGCACACTGAAATTTAAGTTGTTCTTTACTACATGCTCATTCTACAGAGACACTTCTCTGCAGCTAAAATACTCAGTGTTGCTGGGCGATGAGTCCTTCTGTTATCCCTATCACTGACAGCTTTTTGATCCAGCTGGACAGAATTGTTTTGGCTAGTTTGCACAGGACACAGTGAACTCCTGAGTGCCACGAAGAGATAAATGCTGATCATCCTTTGTGCTTCCTTATTCCAAGTTTATAAAGGGTTTTCTGAGCTGGCAGGAAAGGGAATGGCACACATGATTTGCTCTGGTGCTGTTAGTTCTGTTAAAGTACAGGATCTTCTGATGACCTGGGCTTACCCCAGTACACAGCTTAATTCTGACATAAACATGTTGCTCATTTTATTGCTGGGATTGTGTCTGTAGCTGTTGGACACAGACCATTCCTTTCTCCTCTCTTACAGATTTCTCCAAGAACAGCACTGGATCTAACAATTCCCAGGCCCTGTTTATGTGAAAATTGGAAGTGTTTAAAAAGAGGCATAGAGACCACAACTAAAATATGGCTCCCATCCAGACAAAAGAGAAGTAACATGGCATGAATAAAATGAGAGAGGAGTTCACCCTGGTAGATCCATATGCAAGATTACACCATTTCACTATTTATTGCAGAAATACATTAGAAAGGGCCTCTTCAGTCCTTTGGGAAATATGGTATTCATACAACCCCAGACTGTTTTGGGTTGGAAAAGACCTTAAAGGTCACCTAGTTCCAACCCCCTGCCACGGGTAGTGACACCTTCCACTACACCAGGTTGCTCCAAGCCCTGTCCAACTTGGCCTGGAACATTTCCAGGAATGGGGCAGCCACAGCTTCTCTGAGCAATCTGTCCCAGTGCCTCATCACCCTCACACGGAACAATTCATTCCCAATATTCCATCTAATCCTACCCACTGGCAGTGGGAAGCCATTCTGCCTTGTGCTGTCCCTCCAGGACCTTGTCCAAAGTCCCTCTCTGGCTCCCTTGGAGCTCCTTTAGGTACAGTGGTACCTGTGCTTGTGATGGACTGTAATCCATCATACATCAAAACACAACTCACGATAAAACATCTGAAGGACACATTGAAAACCCTTCTTAGATTATTCCCAGCTTTAAAACAGTTAAACAGAACATACTAATGAAAAATACAACTCACGTTTCATATATCTCAGTGAGTTTCTGTGCCAGTGACAGGTTCTGGCCCTCCAGGTAAGTTGCCATTTCAGCTATGACCACAGCTGCACTCACACCATCTTTATCCAACACTGATGTGCCACACATGAAGCCTAGAAATAAAGTGATAGTGGAAAAATAACCTGATGTATTAATACACTGTTAACCTTTTCCTGGAAAAGAACATTGGCCAATACATGTAAGCTGGTTTATGACTGCATATGCAGGAGAAATCTAATTAACTTGGGCATTATAGGGCTGGAAAGATGTGTGCTATAGTCAATTAATTCCAGCTCGATAACATCTGCTCTCTGGGGAGATCTCTCATAGTACAGTGCTAAACATGAAAATACAGATAGAGCCTTGGTAACCCATAAAGCAGAGCTCCGCAGTGCTGCCTCTTCCCAAAGGGATGCACCAGCAAGAGCTTAACTCCTTATGCTTCAAAGCTGCTTTAATTTTATGAATGAAACTGCCAGGGACACACTCTCTTCAGTGTGTGCTTCATTTTCAAATATAAGTGAATACTCTGTCCCAGAAAACTGCCATTTATCCTAAGTGGAGAATTTCTACTGCCAAAACATTCACCACACAGTTCTCCACAGGTATGTGGTGCCAGCAAGGTTACAGAGATCAAGAGAGTGCTCAAGGCAAAGTCAGTAGGAACATTTACATGCTTCCAAGCGGTATTTAATGTTACACCTGCCACATCTGGATCCCTTAAACACTGTTCTGAAGGAGAAGGGGATGGAACACAGCTCGTGGAGGAACTGGCACAGTGGCCACATGGCCACTGGTAATAAGTCTTCTGAGGGGACCCAAGATGCTAAACTGATTAAGAACAGACTCGATGTTTAATCTCAGCTAAAAGGCCACAAAGCAACTGGAGTTTGGCTCTGCAATCTCAGGACCTTCAAGTTGTAGCACAACATGTCTGTTTAAAAAAAAAAAAAAGCCAAAGTGCAGTACCAGAATCAGTATCGCATGAGTTGGCAAGTTGCTTTAATGAGAGCAAAATACCAATACTAGTAACTATGAGGGCAAAAATAAAGTAGCTTTTTTTGTGTTTTGTTCCATAAATAAGATCACTCCTTTCAAGTCACATTTTCCCACCACAGATCTCAACATTTTTAAGGGATATTAACAGGCATACCAATAGACTCTTCAAATGCAAAGAGAACTTCTTTTCCATTATCCAGGAGATTTTTTACTCTACTTCCAATCCATTTAAAACCAGGGAGTGTTTCCTAAACGGGGCGGGGGGGAAAGTAGTGATTAAAATACACATTTTCAATTCAGTTGCAAGTCAAAGAAAGTATAGTCACCATACCTTTCACTTCAGACTCAAAACAAACCAAAACACAAGTAAATAAAACTAATGATGTATTCTGAATTTTAGGGTTGATAGGAAAGACTGCCGCAGAATCAAAACACCATAGCTCAAGGACATTTTTCTGATATTCTTGAAATAATTTCCCCAAATTTAAACCTAATTAATTGACAAGCAGAATAGGGACAGCAGAGAGACATCAGACAAGTCATATTTTCAGTTTAGATTGTAAGCCAAAGAGCTGCTGGGTAGAATTTTCCTTGCAAACTCTCAACTAGGACATGAGTATCAAATCAAGGAGTAAGTGTGCTTGAGAGACTGTGGTTCTCCAAGATCAGATAAGATCTTAGCTCTGGTGCTTATCAGATGAGACAAAGTTATTCAAAAGGAAAAGCTACAGAAATAAGCAACAATTTCAGGCGCTGGAGGGAAGAGCACTGCTTCCTTCTTTTTTCAAATATGCAAAAGTAATCAAAAGCTTCGAAACAGTTTTGGAGACAAGGAAGGTACAAAGAGGGGAAGCTTTTAGAGGAGAACAAAGGATTCTGTAAATTCATAGCTTTTTTCTCCCCCCTTAAGTCAAATGTGTCCCTTTCCAGAAAACAACAAAAACCAAAAGAACAGTATTTAGTCAGATAAGGAAGGAACTTATATTCAACCTGATTAGGCTTCTCTGGCCAATAACTCAAAATGTTTTTCAGAGTTGCTTTCAATTTTAAATTCCTCACTTTTGGCAAAACATTTATTCCTGTTGCACATGGATTTAATTAAGACATGTATTCAACAAGACCTGAATCTCTGGATGTTTGTGCTAAACTTTGGAGCACTTGCCCCTCCTTACATCCAACAGCCTTAGAATCAACCTGAATGCTGGAACCAAAACTGTCAGTCTGTAGCAGTACCCTCCCTCCCATTTTCTTTTTCAGCAAGTTCTTAATGAACCTACATTAAAAATCTGAACATAAGAGTTTCTGTCACAACTTGAATTAAAATCAACTTTTAAACCTACTAGTGCCTGAAGGAGCATTGTGTAACCTGTAAGTGCTTATTACAAATCTATCAACAATCACTCATTTTTGGAGTGAACACAGCAGACTTCCATTCACTCACACAGGAATTTATCTAGGAAAATAACCGTAACAAAGGTGTTTGTTATCTGTAATTTAGGTGCTAATTTGTGTCACCTTTTGCAGCTTCATCTAAGTTGATCTCTGAAGTCTGTAATCACTGTGACAGGCACTGAGAACACTGCAGATGCTGAAATCAGACTTGTCTCAGTAGAAGAACACTCTCTGCAAATTGGAATGCATCAGAACTCCCAGCCAAAAGGCTGGAAGTCATCTATCTACTTTTCACCTCATAAACTCCTAAGCAGGAGAGGTTAGACAGAGAATGTGGCAATCACATTTTACTCTGCCACAAAGACACCCTAAAACCCACACTTACTTCGAAGTGAAATCCCTCTTTAAGTGCAATTGCCCTCAAAACTTTCGAGGAGACTGTGGTGGCCAACATGTAAACATTCTTCACATCAGCATCTTCAGAACAGTTTTCCTTCCAGCGTGAAAACATCCACCACCCAAACAATGCTGCGAGCTCGTTGCCACTGAACACCTTCCAGCAGCCACTGCAGGGAGGAGACAGAGTCTAAGAGCTCTTCCAGGTTTCCCAGGAGCATCCACTCAGGGGGAGAGGTGTTCTGCAACCACTGGAACACGGGGAATCTGAGCACACCACTGACAAGCTGCTCTATACAAAGCCACCATACTACCAGGACTCCACATTTATTACATCTCAATGATTTACAACCCCAGAGCGCTGCCAGCAAGCAAAGATACCAGGAGGTATCCTCACTGTCAGCTTTAACACAGCTCAGGCCTTTTGAATTTATCCCACAGCAGTACAGCAGTCTATAATTGATCCATACATAGCAGTCTATACATTGCAGTCAGGCAATGCCTGTGCAAGTGTTACTTACACAACAGTCAGAACTGGGGCCTGTTAGTGGGAGAAAAATAATTTCCATTCAATAGGGATTTCCATTCAAAGCAGGAAAACACAAAAAAAACAAAAAACACCCCAATGAAAAAGCCCAAACAGTTCACCATGCCAAGGCAGAATTGGTTTGCTAATAGAAGCTAAAAAACAGTGACAAGGTTTTACTGTCTTTAGTAACCACTCAGTTTTCAGCTGAGTTTTATCTGGCCATTTACTATCACACCAGTAAGTATTTAATCTAATTCTGCTGAGTTAACTGATCTTATGTAAAATATAATTGGAGCTATACCAAAAGTTGAAGCCAGCAGGAAGAACACCCAAATACTAAGCTACAAGGGAAGGAGTGGATTGAAACATGTGCCTGTCAGCCATTTAGGGACATTGACTCTCACTACCTCTGCTACAGAAAGAAACAAAAAGACAGGTTCCATCACTTACTTTTCCTGCTGTTCTGCCACTGCTAGTCTATCTGCATCTGGATCAGTGGCCACTACTACTTTAGCATTTTCTTTCTCTGCAAGCCTCAGTGACAACTCCTGGTGGGGGAAGGAGGGAGCAAAAAGAAAATCGTAAGAGCAAATAAACCCACAGTTTTCCTTCTTACATCTAACATACAGTGAAAGAAAACCCATCATGGATTGCCTGCTGTATTAACAGAGCTGAAAAGCCAGGTTCTCCCTGTTCAATTCCCCAGCTTGTTCTTCCCCACGGTATCAATATCCAAACAGAGAAATACCCATAGAAATCTGATGAAGTAGAAACAAAACTACCAGCACTGATTCTCCTTCTTCAGGATTTGGGCATTTGACAGTAGAGAAGTCTGGATCTGGATCTTTCTGTTCAGGTACTGGAATGGGGGGCTGAAAGCCAAAGGCTTGGAAAGCCAATTGCACGTAGTCATGTCCTACTCCATGGAAAGAGGTATGAACAAACTTCAAACTGGTTTGCACATTTAGCTCCCTGAGAAGGAAAACAGAATTTCAGTAAGATCTTTGTTATTTAATAAGGCTATTTTCATGAGGGAAAGAAAAAGAACATGCAATTCCACTGTGTGGAATCAGCACTACTTTGCTGATTTCTGCATTAATTTCAAAGGAGGAATCAGTGAAAAGTGCTCGGTGGGACTTTCACTACAAATTGCTGGTTTAAAGCTTCTTCTCCTGGAAAAATGAAATACTTACCTTCTGCTGAATTGGATAAAAGTCTTCCAAGAATGAATTGCTGATTTCTACATCAAACTCAAGCTCTTCCACCACCTTGATCATACTCTGACTCTTCTTTACACCTATGCTATTCATCCTCCTCCTTTTATTCTTGTCTCGTGCCCCACCCAACCTTTAGACTTAATCTTCTCACCTCTATTTCATGCACACACACCTCACCTTTACTCTGAATTTCTGCATTTTACTCAGAACTATTTGCATAAAATTATGTGTACCAGGGTGCTTACCTGTAGCTTAGGGCCCAAAGGCAGGTTGCTCGACTGTCAACAAAATGGCTTAGTCCTAAGGATGGTGACCCTTCTTTAATGACACAGAGAACGCACTAAAGTCTGTCAGCAGTCTTTCCACATGCAAACCCAGAGCTTACTTGGAAACATAAATTAAGTACATTTTGCTTTACACCATACCTATGATAACAGATCTTTTTCAGATCCTCCATGTAGGAGTCACAAATTTTCTTCAGAGGATCCTGCCTAAGTGGACTGGTGTCTACTAGGTTTTCATTCCAAGAGCCATTCCATGGTTCAACACACTCTTCTATACATTTTATAATTTCCTTGTCGTGAGGAGAAGTGATCTGTGCTCCATTCTCCCAGTAAACCTGGTGCAAGTCAAAGGAAAACAAGACACAGTTTATGCACAAAGATTATTAACTTGAATTCTTTTAGCCATAGGATTCCACGTACTTTCTGCTTCTTCAAAGGCATACAGAAAAGTTTTTGATTCTCAAAAGCCATTTGGAATCACAGTTCATGATTTCAGTTGTGTCATGACAGAACTATGCAGCAACACCAACCTGTTTTAAAAAAAACCTGGTATTTAGCTATTATGACTGAAATAATCAGGACATGAGAAAACAAAACTGGGCACATCCATCTGTTGTGCAAACTAACAGAAGAAAAATATCACCTTCTCCATAGCCTGGCATTCCCTTTGACAAAGAAGCACTTGTTTCTGAAACCAAAGCAAAGCAGATAAGCAGAGTGCCAAGGTACGTTTTTCTCTACAACTGTAATCTTTCAGCTGGAAACACTATCAAGCCTTCAACTATAAAAAAAGTCTTTGTTACAGAATTATTTAGATGCCAGTTTTCCCACAGTTTGTTGCCAACAGCATGGCTGAGTTCACAGTGCAGACTTTCTGCTTAGATAATCTGTCTCTGTTTTATCAGTATCCTCTGAGTTTGTCACGTTTGGTTAAAATTGTCCAAAACCTTCAGAAGCTGCTGAATGCACAGGGGAAATTGTGAAAGATGAAACAGTTCTTGTGAAAGACTAGGAAAAAAAAAATATCATGACAACAGTAAACTGCTGTGTGTCAGAAGACACAAACATAGGAGCTTCTTGACTAACAAAGCACCTGGAAAAGTGATGTGGCTTCTTTCCATCATCATTGCTCTAGCCAAGCAAAAGTAAAGGCTGGTGAAGTACTTTACAACCTGTTTCCAGGAAGAGAAAAGTGCAGTACAATCACCTCCAAGAGTTCTCTCTGTGCACAGCTAGATTGGCTTTTCCAGCACCATCATCACTCACTGACCTGTTAAAAAGCTTCTAGAATGCTGAGCTTAGTTGAAGATTGGAGTTTAGCTCAGATTCTTCTCACATTTAGAAAATAAATACGGTGTTTCAATACTGCATGAGCAGCACTTGCTGTTGTGGATGATGCCCCAAACTTTTCAAGTGAAGCCACTCACCACCAGAAAAACCACCTGACAGGGAACAACACACTACTACTAAGTTTTATTAATCATCTCCAGCACAGTTACCTGTGTGTGCACTAATTAACCTCAGTTCTAGCTTAGTTTGAAAGTAATCTTAAAGTCTAAGATGTGAACACAAACTGCGTAAGTATTTCTTCAGCTGCTGATTAGACTGCATGAAATGCCACAACAGACTTGTGGTCAAGATACACAAGCAATGTGGTCTTACATTCTTGTGGCAGAAGAGTGTGAAATTCAGGTTACAGAAGGATGAATTACCTGAAATAATAATTGATCCTTCTAAAGTACACATATGTGCTCCAGAAAAAGCTTCCTTATGATGAGGGTGCTGAGGCACTGGGATAGGTTGCCCAGAGAAGCTGTGTCTGCTCCATCCCTGGAAATGTTCCAGGCCACGTTGGATGGGGCTTGGAGCAACGGGGTCTAGTGGAATGTGTCCCTAGCCCATGGCAGGGGGTTGGAACTAGGTGACCTTTAAGGTCTTTTCCAACCCAAAGCAGTCTGGAGTTCTATAATGAGCCAAATACATGCAGATGATAGTGGAAAGCAACTGGCTGTCATGTGCTTCAATACAAACTTCAGGCTTTACCTTGTATCCGTTGTCCTCCTTCCTGTTGTGGGATGCTGTGATCATCACACCAGCCACAGCTCTGAGCTGCTGAACAGCATATGGCTACAAAGGAAACCCAGAAACGTCCATTTACCCTGGAGTTCTGCAGCCAGCACAGATAACATGACGTTATTGGGACAGTTATGCAATAGGATGCTACAGAAGTGGCTTTTCATGTTACTCTAGTTTATTTGCAAAACCAATTACAGGTATTCCCAGCTAAGGAGAATCCAAGCATTTCAGTCCTCCCCTCAAAACAAGATCCACAGCACACTAGAAAAGCTTGTGGGATAGAAACAAGGATTTAAAAGCCTGCGAGGAAAGCTGCTGTGACTAGGAGACAAAGATCTACTTTTTAGCTATTAAGAGCAGAGGTGCAGAAGAATTCAGTGACATTCTTGTTACAGCCTCCTTGAAGAGCCAAGCAGCCTCTACTTTTCTGTTTGAATAACAGAATTTAAAAAGAAAATTGCTAGTTCACATTTTTGGTAAACGCCCTTAACTGGTTTGACAGTATAGAAGAGAAGGTGACTCACCACAAAAGGTGTAGGGACATAGGTGGAGAAGAAGTACACAGGTACATCCTTAGCCAGCAGGACTGCTGCAGTGAGCTTTGCAAGCCTACCAACATGAGAAAGAAAATTTGAATAACAGAATTTAAAAAGAAAATTGCTAGTTCACATTTTTGGTAAACGCCCTTAACTGGTTTGACAGTATAGAAGAGAAGGTGACTCACCACAAAAGGTGTAGGGACATAGGTGGAGAAGAAGTACACAGGTACATCCTTAGCCAGCAGGACTGCTGCAGTGAGCTTTGCAAGCCTACCAACATGAGAAAGAAAATACTAACCCAACTTTTTTTTTCATTCCTGACACCTTCAGCCAACTTATTTCTTAAATCCTTCTATTGCTTTCTGGCTTATGCAAAGAGTATCTTACAGTTCACACAGTCAGTGCAACAGTTTTCAGGCTGGAGAACTCAAGACAGCACTTTTATCAGTTGCTTGAGGAGTGCTTCAGTGATATCAAACACACAGGTAAAAAAACCTGCTGGTGTGACACTTGTCCTTTACTCAAGGACAGAAACAACTTCCTGGAAAGTTTTAAGCATCAGACGTCTTGCAACAGCAGATTTGGAAAATGATTTGGTATAACACACAGCAAAGCCTGTTTGCCAGCCTTGTTCAGCAACTTCAGGCAATATCCATGAAGCAGATCTATTCCTAAAATATATCTCTCTAAGCCAGCACATTCTTATTCCAGGATGTTTAGAAACAGAAACAGCACCCGTGGTTTTAAACCTTTCCTTTATAACAAACTTGTCCTTTCAAACAACAGAGAAACTTTCAGCTAACTGATGTGAAACTTTTTCAGACAGGCACACAGAGGTAATGGGAAGTCTTAGGGTCAAAACAGATGAGAGATTAAAAGTGCAAGTTTGCTTTGGTCACTTGTTTTTTTACAGACAAGCATTAATATTGCTTCCTTCTCTCCCAAGTAGTCCAAGTTTCAGTTACTCAGAATTTCACTACAGCACCTGTCAAGTGTCACCTGAAACCACTTAGAAGCATAAGAGCTGAACTTGTAGCTGAAGCTACTGAAACGCTGCTGATATATCACAATGATTTATATCTGCTTAGTTACAGGGCACAGCTGGATGGTCTGCCATGACTGGGCACTGGAGCTGAAGCAAAGAAAGGTGCCCTCCTGCTCATACAGCACTGCAAAAGCACATGGTTCCCATGGAAAACACCATTTTTGGGGAGGTTCAGGTCGATTTTAGCACTGCTATCACTGTGCACCAGGCATGGGGACAAAAGAAATGTAGCTGAGAACTGATGTGGCTCCTTTGACAAGTGAAATGACTGTGCTGCCATCAAATCTGAATTCCAAGCTTCGTGTAACTGAAAAGGAATGCCATTATTACACCTCCACATTTTTAAGCTGTGAATAACCCACACAACTTGGGTTTGCAAACCACCTTGCAAACACAGTGTAACAGAGGAATTTAAATGCCTTACACCAGAGGCTGGTGGATAATGGGCCACATGTATCCAAAGGCCTGACAAAGACGTGGAGAAGCAGACTTCATGGGAAAGAAGAAACTCTTGAAAGATAGCCATTAGATTCTTTGCTCTATTATACCAAGAACTTTTACATCCCTAAAATATTAAATGCTGACAAAAATAATATAAAAGGAAAGAAAGAACTGTGTTAGTTACAACAATTAACTACCAGAATTAACTACTCATGACCTAAATATTAATTAGCTACTGGGTTGGCTTTTTTTGCAAGGCATGTCATTACAGCATGCGTTTTGCTCGCAGAATGACAAGGGATTAAGATTCCTTATAGAATTCAGAAAGCAGTTCTCCCCCCTTTCCTTGCAAAGAGCACAATCTCACATCACTGGAAGTTTACACATTAAGCATTCCAGGTAAATACCCCGCGAAGTGAAAAAACACTGGCTTATAGTAGGCTGCAGATAGAATTCTTCTCCCCCAAGCAAGCTTATATCCGGTGCAAAATACAAAAGAATGACAGTGTTTAAAGTGCATTAACATTTAGGAGTTTCAAGCAAGAGTTAGTATCTACCTTCATATTCAAATTTGTCTCCAAGCATACCAACTTCTTAATATGTGCCTGATGTTCTTCTGCATTTAAACTGTAAATTCTGTGGTGTGGTAAACACTGACCAGCCTTACACCCTACATTTGCTGGCAATCTGGTATCATAAAGACTTTAGGCTCTGCTGCTCTTCCCGACTATTTAAATGGACTAAGAGAGGGGAGAGAGTGTGCCCAGTTCATCACAAAAAATGCTGACAGAACAGAACACATTTAAAGCCACAATTTCATTTCTAGTCTTACAAATATAGGCAATACTCATACTTCTTACTGCTGCAGTTGCTGGTGACCTGACCTCGTGTGTCATATCCAACCACAAAGCCTCTCTGCTTAAAGTCTGAAAAATTCCTCTCAAGATATTTGTAGATCCCCGGGAAAGAAAAAAAAAAAAAACGGGGAGGGGGAAAAAGAATTAGCTGCAATGCCACACAAACGCTGAAAGTGATCTTTCACAGAGGACGGATAATGTCAGTAGACAAAACAGAGCTCAGCAAACATGTCAATAATGATATTCACAAAGCAGCAGAGAGATTTTCTCCCACAGCATTCACTGAAAGAGAAAAAGCAACCAGACAAACTGTTGTGGGGAATAAAAGTGGTACAACAATAAATCCTCAAGCAACAAACATTTATTTTCAACTCATACTGTGCTTTTATGTATTCAAATCAACTTCTTAAATTGATAAAACTCCATTTTTTGGAAGCCCATCCCCTTAGGTAACATGGAACTTGTGCTGTTCTAGTCTTTATCCTTGAGCTCACAGTACAAGTCAGGCACTTTTTCAGCACTGCTTCCAAAGTGTTAGTCCTAAATTTGCCTTAAAATCAAGGAAAGGTTTGGGTTGGAAGGGACCTTTTAAAGATTATCTCATGCTCCAGCTTCACCTTCCCTGTGGCCTTCACATCCATTCATTTCCCAGTTAGAGATCTCTGGAGATACATTGCAGAAAAAAAACAGTATGAATCAGCAGTTTCAAATAAAAAGATGGAAACTCTATTGTTAACAGAGGTTTCCAGAGGCCACAGTTCACTACAGCCAGACAACACAGCACTGTGAACTTAACACAGCCACACTCACCCTAAAAAGCTGCCTCTCACGGGGGTATAAGTTGTGACTTGACAGAAGGAGTAGGAGTGTTTTGTACTAGAAATCAAAATATTTCCCCCCCCAGTATTAAATGCAACTCTTTGAGATGTTTTCATCGGTATCTGACTCCATATCACAAATAAGCAGTCTCAGTTGGAAAGTCAGCCTGACTCCTACCCTGGAATTCAGCTGAGCTCAAATATTTCTAATGGCTCTTGCCTTTAGAATTACAGAATCGTTGAAGTTGGAAAAGACCTCTAAGCCATCAAGTCTAACTTCTCCCTCAGCACTGCAAATGCCATCACTGACCATGTCCCCAAGTGCCACATCCACACAACAGTTAAATCCCTCCAGGGCTGGTGACTTCACCCCTGCCCTGGGCAGCCTGTGCCAGGGCTGGACAGCCCTTCTGGGGAAGGAATTTTCCCTAATATCCAATCTAAACCTCCCCTGGCACAGTTTGAGGCTGTTTCATTGATGCAGAGAAAAGCCTGGAAAAGAACTACTCCCAGACTTGTATCTCTGAGTAGCAGGGATTTGTTTATTCAGCGCTGGGCACAAGGGGGATCGCTCCACCAAACTTGTGCAACCAGGGACAAAAACTTCACAGTTTGTATACATTAAATGCTCATACATATTCATTATTTCTAGGAATGGGTGGTTATTATTATAATTAGTTCTTGGAAATCATCATATACTCCTCCTCTGTCTCCTCCCTCTTGGCCTCAGTCCCATGGTCCTGGTGGTCGTTCAGGGGTCGTGAAGATGAAGTGCCTCCTCTTCCTCAGTACCCTTTGGACACCCTTATTATGCAACCATTTACCCCTTTGTACAGTTTTGCATTCCTTGCTGACCTTGCCTCTATCTTGTACATTTTGTTTCTTCATTCCACACCCCACATGGTCTTAGTTTTCCCACTACTGCTAAAGTTTTGAGTCTAATTAGTTCTACTGCCTTATAGATAAGGTGCATCGTTTCGCCAGCCAAGCCAAAACAACACCATTAGTGAAACCCCTTATCTATACTATGTGATCCTTGCTATTTTGCTAATTAAGCTGAAATAGTGCTACTAGTAAAGTTATTCTTTATGCTTTCAGCTTTAACTGTTCAATTCCTGCTTTCAGTCTACTTCTCGGTATCATCATCTCGTCCCTTGTTCCCTGGGAGCACAGCCTGACCCCCACCTGGCTGCACCTCCTTTCAGGGAGTTGTAGACAGGGAGAAGGTCCTCTCTGACCCTCCTTTTCTCCAGGCTGAGCCCCCTCCAGCTCCCTCAGGCACTCCTGCTGCTCCAGAACCTTCCTCAGATCTGTTCCTTTCTTTGGACACTCCAAGAATGCTCTTCACAGTATGTTCAAGTGGATACTGGCATCTCTTCAGAGAACTATTTCAAGCTGCAGATGTTGAGAGATTCACAGAGAGAAAAAACTTCAAAATAAATCAATCTCCTTGAACAGTGACGGGACTGGAGGCTGTGCCATGGCACAATCACCAGCTGAAGTCACCTTCATGCTGAACCAAAATGTGGTGATACACAGACACCTTCACCCTGACAACATACCAACAACTTTCATTCACAGTTGTAAAGATGTAAGAGTGGAATGGGAAAATATGGTTCAAGTTTAACTTTAACAGACTGAATAACATGTAGAGAGATGAAGATCAGATTTCTTATCAACAGATCCCTTATTTAGTCTAGTAGTACCTGGAGGTCAGAGCACATTGCAGGGTTTTGTCTGAACTAGCTCCTCGAACATCAAGAACTGCATAAAATGGTAATTTATAGAGGAAGCAAAATATTAGACAAACTGATCAAGTTCAAAAGAAAGTGATATCAAAAATAAGAGGGAAAGATTTTTGGCTGATGAAATCAGGAGAGCCAGGAACAGTTTTACAAAGTTCAGTGTTTACATTTTTCAACTATTACCTTCAGCTTTGCTTTTAGAGCAACAGGAAACTAGATGCAAAGGTGACTGGTTTTGTCACTGTGGAGGTCCGTGACATGTTTCTTACCCATGAATAAAAGCACCTGGACATTAATAAAGGCAAGACAGAAACAAAACTGGAGCAGGAAAATCAGGGCTTTACAGGGAGGTTATGTACCTACAATCTTCAGAAGAGTCAAAAGCAACTGCTAGATACTCTGTACCTTTCTGGATCTGACATTTCATAGTATCAATATAATCAAATGAAAAAAAATCAGACCAAATGAAGGACACAGCACACACTTAAGCACATGACTTCACTACAGTTTACTTTAATTGAAGGAAATGTTAATTATACTGAAATCTCTTTTGCCTGACCATTTATTCCTGTCTCAGCTAAAGACAAATACAGACATTTTCACACTAGATTCAGTAACACTGCTCCTGCCATTAGCTTCTGAAACAAGAGTGCTCAAATAGATTTAATTTGAAGCAGTTTACTTCAGAAACAAGTTCTAATGCATTCGCAGGGCATGCTTTTCCTAACTTGATCTATAGCTTTAATAAAGAACTAAATATCACAGCTCTACAGAGGGAGCAAACGAACACAAATGCAGTCTGTTGCTCTCAAAAGCTCGTAATGCCCATGCAACTGAACTTGCAAACACATTCCCTGCTGACCAAAGTGAAACCTTTCACCTTCTGCCAAGAATGTGGCTCAGTCAGCCGACCCAGGCTCGGCCACGCTTCCCTAAGCCTGGAGGCACAAAGACAGCAGGCACTGGGCAAGCACTCAGAGCAGGAGTGGCTCCAAACCCAACAGGCTGCAAAGGCCAATGAAGTGACTCTTGTAAACTTCCTCTGCATGAACAATATGTTTACTCTGCTTTAAAGTGGATTTGTTTAAACCAACTTGGCTACTTTTAACCATTCCACCACTGCCAAACTACTAGTTTTTAAACTTTTTTTTTCTTAGCCTCCCCAGTTTGTTCCCACTCATCCACAGATGGGCCACAGCACTAAGTTTTGTTCATACCATTCACAGCATTTCCGGCAGGTGAGTTTGGCATACTCAGAGCAGGAAGGGCAGAATTAAAGGAAACATCATTTGAAGATCACAGAATCAGTCAAGTTGGAAAAGAACTGAGATCATCAAGTCCAACCTATGACCTCACACCACCATGTCAACTAGACCATGGCACTAAGTGCCACATCCAGATCCTCAACTCCACACACCAGCTGTTTGCACCAGCACCAAGCAGAGCCTGATCTCTGGCAGAGGAGCAAGAATTAGGATTAAAGCCTCCCCAGACAGAACTTCATCCACAAGCACAACCATCCCATCAGGCTCTTTCCAACAACACTAATTCACAATTACCAAAATGGCAGTGTCACAGTTTAAGTTTAACCCCAGGCAAGATCTGCATCAAAGTCCGTCTGTATTCAAACCAAGAAGCCCATCCCAAAATAGTCAGCTACAAACCTCAAAGGAGTAGCCTTCAAAGAGATCAGACCACAGTGTTTCCTTAGCAAGTAATTCCATAATGACATTTGTAACCCAAATACACATATTAAATCAGAGATACACCAGGAATCACCAAGACCTCTGATACACTGCATAACACAAGATCTGCAGTTTGAGAGTTTTAAGTTCACAGGAAATTATTTTATCTACTCTAAAAGTGCCATGAGCTACAGACAGAGCTATAGCAAGATCAGAGTACTTACCCAACAACTATCCAACCCAGCTGACAGGTAACACAGCCAGGGTTATTTGAAAAATTCCCCAAAATCTAAACAATTTACAACACAGACCTTCACAGTCAGCCTACATTTGCTTTTTCATGTTAATTCCTCTTCATTTTCTTAGCAATAACTGCTATTTTCATGTAATTATTCACAAATTGGGCTAAAAATGAAATAAAATGTTTGGGGTTTTGCTTGTTGGGTTTTCCTGGTTTTTTTGCTTTGTTTTTGACAAATACTAAAAGTTCTCATGACAGCTAATGATTTCCAGCCACAAAGCAGTGTAACAGACTAACTACTGGACAAATTCCAGTGGAAGTGATTATATTCTGCCTCCTAGGATGCCCAGTTAGACCTCGCCAAGCTACTTCACTCCCTTTCAGCACAGAACATTTCATGCTGCTGAATAGCTGCTGCATTCCATCTTCAGCTTGTATTGCAGTGGGACCCTGTGTGCCCAAACACTCACTGTGGAGCCAGAGTCCTCTCTCACACACCTGTCCAGCTCACCTGTGTTGACTGGATGACTGTAAGGTCATTGATGTAGCAGAATCCTGCTCCCATGGCCGAACGCAGCCCGGCAGTGCCAAACGTCAGGCGGCAGCACAGACGATCCCGGAGCTCCTTGTGCTTTCCATTCTGTAACAAGCTTTCAATCTGTTCTTTTGTTTTTTGGTTCTGCAAAAGAAGATTAAGGGCTTCATTTAGTGCTTGAAATCAGGACCTGAGCTATATATTCTCAAAGGCTTTAAATAATTCCTAGTGCAGATTCTTCCCCTCCTGTAAAACTCCTGCGCACCAACTGGCCTTCAGTGTAACTCATTTCTATCATGTTCTCTTCTGTATCATCCTTACTTATAAAAGATTCAAGAGCTCTTGCTGCCATGGATATGCTGACTTGTTTGCCTGGTCATCATACACCTACATGAAGCCTGTAAGTGAGAAGCGCAGACTTTGGAACAGTTTTTTTCCAAGGCAGGCAACACAATTCAATTCTCGATCTGTGTTGCTGAAGACAGACAGAAATCCCATCTTCAAAGTAGAATTTCCTTCCTCCACACCCACAGGAAAGGTCTGTAAACAGACACAGTAAAGTCACAGAATCACATAACGGTCTGGCTGAGAACAGACTGTAAAGCTCAACCATTTCCACCCCCAGCCATGGGCAGTGACACCTTCCACTAGACCATGCTCCTCCAAGCCCCATCCAACCTGGTCTTGGACACTTCCAGGGATGGGGCAGCCACAGCTACTCTGAGCAACCTGTGCCAGTGCCTCACCACCCTCACAGGAAAGAACTTTTTCCTGATAATCCCATCTCACCCTGCCCTCTGGCAGTGTGCAGCCATTCCCTCTTGCTTGTCACTCCAGGCCCTTGTAAATAGTCTCTACCATCCTTCTTGTAGGCTCCTCCAGGTCACATCATCCTATGCCTTTATCATGTAAAACATGAGTCAATGAACAGCCACATGACTAGGAAAATGTATGACTAAATAGAACAGTAGGAAGCAATTCTGATTCAAACCCCTACAATTTTAACAATCATTGTGTTTATAAAAGAGCATCAGTCACTCCCAGATATTTATTGTCATTCATAGTTCAGCTGAGGGAGTGATTATACAGACCTCCAAAAGACTTAATTCGAGTATTCACCTTAAGGTAGGAAGTGCTACAATCCCATGAGAGTTTTCAAGTCAAATACAGAATGGTTTGGCCTGGAAAGGACCTAAAATCTCATCCAGTTCCACCCCCTGCCAGGGGTGGGGACACCTTCCACCAGATCAGGTTGCTCCAAGCCCCCATTCAGCTCTACACGGTCACAGCGTTATGCAGCAGGGTGGACACTGATCCAGAGACAATTACTGAAATCTCCCTCTGGTCATTCACTATTTTCCTAAACTTGCATCACTGTCACAGCTAAGAACTTCCAAGAGTACAAACTGCACGTGCACACACACACTATTTGTTCTTCATATCTGATCACCAAGAAACTCAGCCTGTCTACTCACATTCATTTCGGACAAGCTGCTTCCCATATCCTATAAACACAGCACAGCACAGCACAGCCAGGCTTGCCTAAAACACCACAGTGAATACACAGCTGGAAAAAACCAATTACTCCAGAGATATAAACCACAGCTCAGGTGGCACAAGTGCTTCTTTAAAGCAGCATTGCATTGCTTCAAGCAGGATGCCAAGGAAGGGTTAAAAGAGGCAGATGGAATCTGCAGGGCAAGGGTGAAGCACCCCTGACATTTCAAATAGAGGTCAGGCAGCTTCAGCTCCAGGGCAGCCCCAGCAGCACTGGGAAACACACTCAGCACAGGCTGAGGGGAAGGTCTTCAGGAGGATTCAAAAAATGCTGGGAAAAGCACAAAGATGTGAGGCGAAAATGTTCATGAGGAGGAAAAAAACTCAATAAAACCCACTAAAAAACCTGAAACTATTTCTGCAGCTTGGTAACATCCTGAACACCAGCAGGATGAGACACATGGATTTACAATAAATTTTCACTTCTTTGTGCCTTAAAATAAAAGGCAGGTCATTACTGTTCAGGCTGTTGGACGGCTCAGCAACCAAAGCAAGACATTACTCACAACATAGCCAAAAACAGCCCTAAAAAGCCAACAAATGGGGCACAACAAACAATAAACCCCAGAAGTGAAAAGTTTCTCTTTTAGCTGTTCATAGCAGCCAACCAGAAAACAAATGTTTGATCTGAAAAGAGTAATGAAAACCTAATTTCACACTATCACAGTACATGGTTTTGCTTTAAAATAAGGTTATTAAATTACACTGCATCTTTGATAGTTTTTTAGGACATGCTGTATTGCTTCCCTGCAACAACAGAATCAAAATAGTACATTACATAGTTCATAGAGTTTCGCAAAACTGAGCCAGTGCAAATATTTATTTCACAAATAGATTAAAACGCATTTTGCATTGAAGCTACTTGATTTATTTCCTAAGGAATGAAAATGAGTCAGCCAATATAGTACCCAAATAACATTTTAATTTGCTTGGGTCACACACAGCTAGCTAAAGTTTGCTAACAAGAAGAAAAAAAGACAAGACAAAAAAAAAAATCAAGTTACATGTAAAAATCTCCAAGCTTTCCACAGATGACCTGAAACTCCTGGGCCAGCAGGAAGAGGGAATTTTACAAGTCTTGGTATAAATGTGCTGATGATGTGGCTCACCCTCTAGGTTACACATTCAACAGCAGTAGGAGACTGATATCCACACAGCTGTTATCCCAAACAACTGTGGCACAATCCTTACTGATTTTTATTCTTTCCAGATTGTCCTTTTTCTCTCCAAGATGGAGAGCATCAAGGCCTATGGCTCAGCTCAGCTTCTTGCAACATGCTGCCTGGATATGAGCACTGTTTGCCACACTGACATGGGAGTTTCAAAACAGCTTCCACTGTTGACATCTGACCCAACTGCAAATCCTGAAAAAACAGGGGTTTGTTAGTTTGCTTTACAGTTCTGAAATATATTCATATATACAAAGGTTTCACAGTGGGGGGGGGGGTTGACAGCTTATTTTCAAAAGTGCAATAGTTCATATAATTATTTAAGTTGAAAAGCCCTCTAAGACCATCAAGTCCAACTTTTCCCCTTGCACTGCCAAGGCCACCACTCACCATGTCCCCAAGTGCCACATCCACACAACAGTTAAATCCCTCCAGGGCTGGTGACTTCCCCCCTGTCCTGGGCAGCCTGTGCCAGGGCTGGACAGCCCTTTTCGGGAAGAAATGTTCCCTAACATCCAACCCAAACCTCTCCTGGCACAGCTTGAGGCTGTTTTCTCTTGTCCTGTCCCTTGTTCCCTGGGAGCAGAGCCTGACCCCACCTGGCTGCACCTCCTGTCAGGGAGTTGTAGAGAGGGAGGAGACCGAACTCGATTAGCTTAAAAGCCAACTCCGAAGAACTCAAGAGCCTACTCTTAACCGGTGCTGGATGAGTACATCCATAAGCTCTGTGAATCACAACACAGAATCCTAGAGCAAGCAAAAGAGAAGTTACCTAGAGATTTTAGACTACAGTGTTCGCATGCTTTTTAACATCCTTTAAAAAAAAAAAAAGCCACCACAGAAGTGCCTAGAGCTTCCTGTTTAAAGCAGAAATAAGCCAGGTTGTTTGCTACAAAAATAGTCATTCCTTAAAAAATGCAATGCTCTAAGACACCCCCTGGATACCCAATGGCTCTAACAAAGCAATTCAAATTCTCACAGATTTAGTGCTCTGAAGAGCTCACATATTTTAGTGTTTCATCTGAAGTCAAGAAGTTTGTGAATGCCAATGATACAAAAACAGCATTTATTTCAACGCCCACTAAACATGCCAAATCTCCTCACTGCTGGCCAACAAGCCTTTGGGCTGGAAGGACCTTAAAGATCATCTGTTTCCAACTCCATGCCATGGGCAGGGACACCTTCCACTAGACCAGGTTGGGTTGCTCAAACCCCCATCCACCCTGACCTGGAACATTTCCAGGGATGGGGCAGCCACAGCTTCTCTAGGCACGCACACAAGTATTATACATATATAGGTCAGCGGGAGGACAGACAGCAATCAAGAGGCAACAGATGGCATTTCTCCTGTTCCCAGTGGGGAAGGGCCCTGCCCACTGCCAGCAACATACAGGAAGGCAGCAAATAAGGCCTGCTTCAGTAGCTAAGAGATCCCTGGGAGGGCCAGGAAAGGGACAGAGAAGTAAAGAGGTGCCTTTGGCTGGTGGCTGGGCCAGAGATGGGTTTGACTGTGGCTATCCCCTTGGTCCTGCAGTGAAAATCAGCACCAGTTCCCTCAGCCATAC